AGACTCCGCCCACAAGGCCCCCTGTTCACAGGGGATGGCGTGGGAGGAGCTGTGTCCTGGGCACATCCCACGAGAGCAGCGCTCTCAGGTTTGAGCAGACGCTCCAGGTGCTGGGCGGTCTGACTGTGTGAACTCTGCCGCTGTGCCACACACCCAGCTGTCAGCTCACGAGGAGGAGGAGTTTGCTGCCTCCCGGTCCATCACCATGGCGAGTGTGTGGCAAAGCCGCTCACCCCAGGGCAGCTGGGAAGGAGAAAGACAGGAAGGGCTGAGATGCCCACGCCCGACGAAAGGACATGGCCCAGTGAGCAGCTTGCTCCCCCAGGCCCCACCCCAAGGCTATCGCCAGTGCGGGTCACCAAGCCCTGGCACAGAGGCCATGGACACCCAGGCCCAAGGGCAGTGGGATCACGCGAAGCACCAAGAAAAGCATAGGAACTGCAGAGCTGAGCCCTGAAAATGACGAGCTCTGTCTTCTCCTCTGCACTTTGCAGTGGGAGGGACTGGACGAAGGGCTCCGTGGCCCCGGCACTTCTGAGCCCATCTTGAGGCAGTGCCCTGCCTCCCTGCCCAGCCTGGCCTCTGGAGAGCGTCATCACAGGTGTGGGCCACCATGCCCAGCTCCAGCTCCCTGCTGCACAGCTGTAACCAAGCATCGGGACAGGAGGTGGTGAGTGAGCAGTGCTCTGCAAGCCCAGGCCTGGGGCCAGAGCCTGAGCAGAGGGAGGGAGCAGCCCTGTTCCTGCTTGTGTGAAGGGCGAGGGCAGGGTGGGTTAGAGGCCACGGGCAGGGTCTGAGGAGCGTCTGATGGTCTCCAGGCCCCGACCTCTTCAGTAAACAGTGGAGACAGTGCCTGGGGCCTGGCCACAGGGGTCTCTAGTCACCTGTGCCAGCCTGGCTGTGGGCTGCTGAGCCAGGGCATTGACGGCAATGGAGTGGCCAGTGTAGACGGCGGCTCTTGTGCCAGGAGTTTAAAATATGGAAAATCAAAAAAGCCAGGAAATAAAGATATAATGAGCACAGACACCACACCGGAAGGTCAGCCAGTGCCTAGAGAATCACCGCTGCTGTTGCCCGTAGCTGCGGGGCAAACAAGCCTGGGCTGGGTGCTGGCACCAGGGCCTTCTTCGGTGGGTGCTCTGCTCGTGGGCTTGGTGTGGCCATGCAGTGGCCACCTGACCACTGCCTGGGGCCAGCTGGAGCTTGAGGCCAGAGGGCCAACGAGGCTGCCTCCTGCACAGCACCCTGGCACCCCGCCCCAGACAGCTGGGGCTGGAGCAGCAGGCCCAATGGATCTCATTCATTTTTATTAATGCTTTTTCTTTCTAGGAATTCTGGGGACTGGCTTCCAGCCCCTAGAGCTATGTGAAATAATTCCCATTGTCTAAGCCACCCTAAGCTATGTGAAATAATTCCCATGTCTAAGCCATGGTGTTGTGTTAGGGCAGCCGCAGCAGACCCACACCAGAGCAGAGAGAAGTGTGCCCAGCCACTGCAGGACTTCCCAGATCAACAGCCTCCACTGACTTCATCACCAGGGTGAACTGAACACAGGGACCTAGCATCAGATTAAAGCATTCAGGGACGCGCCTACAATTTGGGCTGAAACGCTAGGCTTCCTCTCTAGTGTACAGGGAATATCTGAACAAAAGTTTTCCACGAAAGTGCTTCTCACTGGTATTGACAATGAAGTTTAGTACATTATTTCAGATATTATCCCACAAGATCAAAAAACTTAACTATTAAAATGCTTTTATGTGAGACACTAACACAGAACATGGATATTGTACTGTCTTGATGTATAACATGTCAGCAAGTTGCTTTCTCATTTCAGCCAATTTGTTCCTAACATGTAGGATGATAATTTAGAACACAATGTATGCTTACATAGACATGATTAGTTTTTAATGGTATTGAACATTGCATGTTTGAAAAATCTTGATTATATTAAGTACATGCTGGAGTTTTAATGCTTCATGGGTACTTTCTTCATCCTTTAAATTATTTCATCTACATTTTGTTAAGTCTTTAGGATTTTGTTCTTCAAATGCATTATTGTATAAAGCTGATGTTTTGAATGTTTTTCTCATTATTTTGATTGATAATTGGAATTTTAAAAATTAAACCATGAACTTTGACAGAATTTGATTGCCATCCCATGAAAATTATGGGGGATGACTAGTAATTTCGGACTCGTAATTAGGGGGGAAGACTAGTAATTTCTTCCTCAACTAAGTTCTTAGTTGGAAGGAACTTCTGATCAGGAGTCTGGACTTTCAGCTTCTCCAGGCTAGAAAGCCATGCAAGGGACTTGGGGTCAGTCTGTGCCTTTCAGGCCTGCACATTTTGGCGAATTCTTTTTCAAGAAAAATACCTTGCATTTCCTGGGCTTGCCAAGAACCATGCTGAGTTTATTGCCTCCTGCAGGAAGGGCCCTCTTCTGTGACTAGGCTTGGGGTTCACTGGGAACCTGAAGTGCAGCTCAGGGAGCGGGGAGGCAACTGCTGATGAGATTTTAAATCTTCATTTGCTTCTGACATGCTGAACGCAAACGTGAGGTTTCTGGTCTAGAGGAAGAAAAACAACCACAGGTTTTAGTTAGAAGAGACCCTACTTCAAAGACAGATTTGCAAGGAGAAGCAAAGGGAAGTTTATGAACGCTGAGGCGTGGGAGACGCCCAGGGAGGGAGAAGCTCTCAGGAGGTGGCTTTGAGCTCCTGCTCCCACCTGGGTAACATCTGCAAGAAGAGATGGGCTTGGAGAGGGGAACGAGACCACGGAGAGGATGCTGGGGCTCCAGGTGGAGCCCGAGGACGGCTGTAAACAGCAGGTGGAGGCCGCTCAGCACAGCTTGTTGTGGGGACCCCTGGCTCCTGGCTGTGAGGCTCCAAGTGGTCCTCCCTGCAGTCTGGGTTCCTGGGGGTGGGTGGGGAGGTGGGGCGCCTCTGACTTGCTAAGTCTGCAGAGAGCTCCCTGCCTCTGCGTCTTCTTAATCACTTTCTGCTCAGCAACTGTTCCCGCTGCAGGTGACAAATCCCACAGGTCTCAACACGAATGAAGAACGATCTGCATCCAGTATTCACATCAGTAGCACTGGTGGAAAAAGCATATTTTTGTTAAACTAATGAAGTTATTTGGTTTTGAAGGCATAGCAAGTGTTGTCTGAGTTCGTGTGCCTGAGTGTACAAGGGTCGGGCTGCTGGAAGATCCCAGGGCTCTGCTTCCGGCTGACTTTGCCACTTCTCTCTGTGGACTCAGAGATGAGGGCGGATGTTCAATGCAACCTTAGTAGAGGTATCCACTATTGGTGTCTCTTTACTCTAAATTTCTTTCAAATATTTTATTGGTAAATTCTTAAATTTGTTAATATTGAGGCATAGCATTTGCGACATGTCGAGGAACACAGTGCACCAACCATGCACGCCCATGGAGAACCATCCAGAACCCACGGCGGGCGTGTTTCAGGGTGGCCGCAGGAGCGCCCCATACCTGTGGGCGCTGTGTGAGCGAGCGTGCAGAGGCCTCTGTGAGCTGTCCTCGTGACATCCTGGGCATTGGCCTGGATGAACGAGTTTAATTTCAAGGTTAATTGTTGATTGACTTTCAAGGTTAATTGTTGATTGACTTTACTCATTAGCCTGTTACCAATCAGAGCAGAATTCACTCAGCAGCGTGAGAGCCGCCACAATTATACAAAGGACACTGGCTGAGTGTGCTGTAGGCGGAAACAGAGGTCTTAAGACAAAGTCTGGGGAAGGTGCAGCTTTTAGAAGGGCATGGGGCTGTGTCTGGGGTGGGCAGGAGAGTGGAGGGAACCGAAGTGATTTCCTGCAGACCGGGGCTGGGAGATGGGGCCTTGATCAGCGGCACAGCCCAGTGCTGAGCAAGCCCAGCGCAGTGCTGGCCCACCCGCCCACCCTCAGGCCCTCAGCTTCCTGCAAGTCACAGCTTCCCCTGGGAAGGTCGCCAGGAGAGCCAGGGCAGCGCCACTGCTCGGGCTCGGGCTCGGGCTCGGGCTCGGGCCACAGCCTGTTCCCGGGAGCGCGGTCTGTCCTCCACACACAGCCACCCCCGCAGGCAAGCAGCTCTTCGAAGACTCGTGCAATAAATCATACACAGGAACAACAACATCCGGGTGAGAGGGGAAGAAAAAGCCTTTAGATCCGAGTTTGAATGAAGCAGGGGTAAAGTGCGGTTCTGGGAGAAGCGGGAGCCTGTGTGGCCAAGGCTGCTGCTGTGGACTGGGAGGAGGAGATCCCCAAGTCCCCCTCTGCTCTGTGTCCATTAGGGTTTATGAAGGAGGCCATTTAAATGCCCCAGTCCTTAGGACTCAGCCCTGGCAGAGGCCTGGCGGCGGCACAGCGGGGCACAATCCCTTCCTGGGTGGGGCTGGGGGCTTGGAGTGCTGAGGACCTCGTGTGGGGAGACAGACAGGGACCAGGTGGGGCTGGAGGGAGCTGGGCACGGGAGGCCTTCTGGTCTTCTGAGCAGGTGAGGCTGGGGAGCAGGGAGGGGAGGGCTGTGTTCAGCAGCACTGAGGAGCCGAGGTGGGTCGCTTACGGGGTGCCCTGGACACCTGGTGCTCTGCGCTGGAGGAAGTGGGTGGGGTGGGCCATTCCGGGCCACAGGAGGCCTGCAGCCCTCGGTGCTCAGCTTCACACACAGTCAGACGTGTTTCCCTTCAGGCACTGCACATGTCCTGAGGTCTTTGTTGTGGCAGGTGGAGGCAGGTGTATGGGGAGAGCCGGAATGGGGTGGGAGAGGCTTCATTAGCTGGGTGGGGACACTCTGCCTTCACCTGGGATGAACTGAGGTGCTACTGCACACAAGACAGGGAAGGGCTGAAAACTAAAGCCCACCTTCCTCTAAAAGCTCAGGGGGAAAGCCAGCTGTGGTGGTGTGCACTTGTGATCCCAGCGGCTCTGGAGGCTGAGGCAAGAGGACTGCAAGTTTGAGGACAGCCTGGGCAACTTAGTGAGACCCTGTCACAAACAACAGCAACAAAGACACAAAACAGCCAAACAGGGCCAAGAACAGGCAAAGTCGGTGGCAGGGCAGTGGACCAGTCAGACCCACAACCCGCTGGTAACTCCCTACCCACTTCCAGGCACTTCCTCCCGCCCTCCTCTGCTTCCTGGCAGGCTCATCTTAGGAGTGCTGTCTTAGGAGTGCTGTCTTGTGAAGGGGCTGCTGTCTTACCTGACAGACTGGAGCCTGTGGGTCCTCAAAGTGCTGGTGTACGGGGGCATCAACTACAGCTTTTGATTAATGAGCACTAGCCGGGGTTCTTAGGTTCTGCAATCTCAGTCTCCTTTACCCAGATGTTTGTTGTTCTAGACACCAGAAGGTGACACAGGGCTGGGGGAGGGCGGGACAGCAGAGCCCTGACCTGCAGGAGGATTGGAAGTCACAAAGGAGAAAAGTGGATTAATTTTTGTCCTTTGAAACTTCCTTTTGATTCCTGGTAATGCTGAAGTGCTTCAGATCAGTCCTCCCAATGAACCACTTAGAAAGCTGAGTGGAATAGAAGAAACCTTCCTGACAGCATCAACGGGCCAACAAGAGAGGAAGGAGTTGCTGGGGCCGAGCTCAGGAAGTGGCTAGGAGCCCAGAGAAGCGGGCCTGGCCCCCTGGAGTTTGCTAATCCACAGCAGGGCAGGGCAAACTGGGCTTTGAGTGCTTCATGGGGTGGGAGCGAAAGCCAGAGTCTAGGGACCCTGGGCACAGAGCTTGACCAGCTGCCTGCTCTGGCCAGACCTAGAAGGACCTCACCGCACAAAGACGGGGGAAACAAAGGCCTTGAGTGTGGATCAAGGGAATTTCCGAAGCATCAGGTTCCCCAGACACCTGGCAAAGAGGAAGAAAGCCCTCCTCGGGAAAGAGAATATCCTCCCAGCCTCACCAGTCTGGAGACACCTTTGCAAACAATGCTTGGCACACAGCAAAAAATGACCAGACAGGTGGGGAGCTGGCTCCAAAAGGGACCAATCAGAGCCACCGAACCAAAGGCATGCAAATTACCGGAATTCTTGAATTTTCCTCAAATGGGAGCTTATTGTTTTGGTGTGAGTATAACTACACCCATGAAAGGAAATGACCTATGGAAAATACAAAGCACAAACCACAGAGCTAGAAAGAAGCCACTGCTTCGTGGGCAGTGTCTGGCAGTGGCAAGGTAGGAAGTTGAACACTTTTATTTCTGAATTTTCTAACTTTTCTTTAAGGATCATCTATCCTGGAAGAAATACTTTGCGTTCCAGAACCACTGGGCCCAAGAGGTGAGAACAGCCCCAGCTGCCCCAGGAGCCTGCATAGGCAGATACACCGGGGACAGCGGAAGCGCCGGGACCTGCTGACCGGCTGGAGCTGGGCCCTGAGGTTCGGCAGAGCCGGCTGGGACCTAAGTGTCCTGCAGGATGCACGTGGTTTACTGCAAGCTGCTGTCGGAGGGTCCGGCCTCTCCCGCCGGCCCATCTTCCTGTCCACCTAGTGGGCTGGCCGTGCGGGCCGGGTAAGAGTGAGTGACAGGGTGGCGGCCGGCTCGGCCAGGCTCCGCTGCTGGGGCTGTTTGGAAGCCTTTACTCTGGGCTCCGGCCCGGTCTCCCGAAAGGCCGGCTTTCCAAGCTGGGGGTGTTGGACCCGTCCGGTCCTGTAGGACCGGTCTCCCGGCTGGCGCGGGCAGAGGTCGGGCTGGACCCGGGGACCTCGGGATCCACGGCTGTCCGGGCCGGTCGCCCGAACCCGGGCTCGGCCTGGAGCGACCCGGGCTCCGTCTCCGACTCCGAGAAAGCCAGGAGGGCGGCCCAGACCGGCGCCTGGGGGGAAGCGGGCTGCGGCGGGCGAGGAGCGGGCTGGGTGCGGGGCGGGGCAGGGCCGTGGGGTGCGGCTTCCCTCCGGCCGCCCCGGCCACTTGCCCTCCCCACCCAAGGGGAGGGAAGGAGCGGAGAGGGGCGGGGCGGGGCGGCCCCGGGGGGGAGCAGCAGCGCTGGGCGGAGACCCGGCCCCGCCCCAGCCCCGCCCCCTCGGCTGCCTGCCGGGCTGCGCACCTGGGCGCGCGGCGCTGGAAGCCTCGCGGGTCGCCGCGCCATGGCCTTCACCTTCGCCGCCTTCTGCTACATGCTGGCCCTCGTGCTGTGCGCCGCGCTCATCTTCTTCGCCATCTGGCACGTGAGTGGCCCGGGTCGCCGCCCCGGGCAGCTGCAGGTGGAGGCGCCGGGCGGGACAGCGGGGAGGAGAGCTCTGCCCTGCGGGACAGCAGCGATCCCAGGGCCCTCGGGGCAGACAGTTAGGGCCGGGCAGCCTGGGTCCCGGTGGCCAGCGGGGGCCGGAGGCGCAGGACGCCGGGCTCTGAGATCCGCGCACTGGGGAGCTCGGCCAGAGGCCCTTGGCCAGCGCTGGGGGGCACCGTCCCAGGCGTGGCCCCCTGACCGGCCTGCCTTGCCGCGGTGCCCGGGGACCCCGAGGCCAGACCCGGCACCCCGGCCTCTATGCCTCGGACCCCAGGCAGTGAGAAGGACCCGAGCTGGAGACGCGGGGTGATAGCGGGGCGGGCGCCCTGGCGGGGTCGAGTGTCTGTGGAGTGAGAGGGCTTTCTTAAAGTAGAGCTGCGGGCTCCGTGACAGGCGCTGTGACCGCGGGTGGGGGAAGGCGGGGAAGGCTTTGCCAGGCTCCCGCTCCCCCGCCGGCCTCTGCGGTGAGCAGGCAGTGACCCCGGTGCCCCCACCTTCCCGGGGTCTAAGGTCCACAAACGCACGCAGCAGCAGCCGATCCAGGGAGGCGGCCGGGGTCTGGGCTCGCAATGGCTCGTCCCGAAGCAGCAGGGGTTGTGCATCCTCCTCTGCCAGCAGGGAAGCCGGGCCAGGCCGTGTAGGGAATCGAGCCTTGACGTTGGCTGCTGTTGAGGAGAAGTGGAACTTTACCCACTTCAGAATAAAAGGGTTGCAGGTAGGTCGTGCGGAACAGCGCCCGAACCTCTGCCCTGCTCTAAAGGAGCCTCCCCGCTTCACCGGTGCGGGTGCCGTTCGCAGGCTGAGATGTCGCGGCTGTGGGGGGGGGGGGGCACGCAGCTCATCGCATCCTGTGGCTCGGCTCTCCAAGGCAGCCCCGAGCAGGCAGGGCCCGGGACCTCTCCCTCCCCACGGGGAGGCAATGCCTAATTCAGGAGCAGGCTGACTGAGTGGGTGGCTGGGGCAGCTGAGCGGCTGAGCGAGCGACACCGGAGAGGCCGTCAGGGGCTCCGCGGTCCGCGCCTCGTCCTCCATCTGAACGCAGCCAACCCCAGTCGGTTCCATGTCTCATCGTAAAATGCGCTTGTGTTCTTCGAATTCAGGTCACAGTCCAGTTCCCCAGGCTTAGTCCTGCTTCCCTCGCCCGGCCGCGCTTTCGCTCAGAAACAGCCAGACTCACGGCACTGATTTGCCTCCTGAGCCTTGAGAAGGGAAATTGCAGTCGTACGGACTTCCGAGTGCACGTGTGTGTGGGTGTTGGCTGCACGGTGGTAATTATCTCAACCAAAACGTGGGAGAGCTGTTCCGTGTCAGCCGCGTGCCGTCTTTGCCCAGCCTCCGTACCCTGGGCCCGCTGGCTGCGCAGCATAAACACATTGGCGCCAGGGCATGCGTGGCCCCGGCCCTGGCCCTCCCCCGCCTGCCCGGCCTCACTGGGCTGGCCGACAGGAGATGCCCGCTCCTGTGCTGCTTCCCGCTCAGCAGGAAGGGCGGAGGTTGCTGCTGATCAGCGCCCCTGTGGGTCAGCCTCTGCCACCCACGCCCACGGGGACTCCCAGGAGCTCCTCGGGGGTCACTTCCTCCCCCGGGTTTAGCAGCAAGGAGGGATGTGGCCGCTGTGACACATCTCCTTTAGGGCTCATTTTTTATATTGGAAATTTGTCTCTTTGTTTTCAACTGAAATCATTTGAAATCAGCGACCACCTTTGAGTGCATTTGTCACGCTTGGAAGGAGCAGAATAACACTGCGTTTCTCACCGGTGGCTCCGCACACCTTCTGTGCCTGGGCTCTTACCTCCATGTGGCAATTTGGTCCTCAGAACGGATGTTTTTCAGAAGAGGAAGTTGCGGATCACAGAGGTTATAACACGAGCACAGCAGCACAGCGCCTGGCATGTGAGACTCCCGCCCCAGCCCCTCTTCCAGCAGCAGTCGCTGTTTCTGGATTCTTTGACTTTGATGATGGTCTCTATCCAAAGGGTTACTTATTTTCTATATATTTTTGTGTTGGAATTTCTGATTGGAGTTATATGACTAATCAGACTGGAAACATTGCATATTCTTTTTAAAAAGAGGGATTTCTGTTTCTTTTTTAAAAGTAGGCTTCTGTTTGTAAAATGATGCAGGTTCATTGCTATGCTTTTGGAAAATGCAATGCCACATAATGAAAGGAAATCAGTCTTACCTTCCGGAGGGTCTGGGTGCCTGGGTGCACTTTAGAACATGGAGCGTGGCTGTGCATGAGGAGAGGAGAGGGCTGCAGAGGTCTGACTCGATTCAGGGCCGGTGTGCAGGAGCAGCGTCTGCTCTGCTGGGAGCTGCGGCCGGAGTGGACCCGGTGCCACCATCTCCTTAGCAGCTGGGACCAGCCCATGCTGTGGAAGATCAAACTCAGGCTGTTCATATTTAAGGGGCTGGGTTTTTAAGGTTTTTGTATCTAGAGTCACACTGAGTTCTGGCAGTTTACAAATAAAACTCATGTCCAGTTAAAGATTCCATGTGCACCTCCTCTTGAAATTGCCTTGGACAGCAGCGTTTGCCACTGGGGCAGTCTTCATGGTGAGGAATCTGTCTCACAGAGGGCTGCTGGGAACCTGGGGAGCATGCAGGTCCTCAGGGAGCCCCCGAGGAGACCAGTGTCAGGCTTGTGTGGAACGAGGGTGCCTGGCTGACGGGAGCCCCCTTTGCAGAGGCCCTCTGCCCCCCATGAGAGCCCCGCGCCCTGTGCTGGCCTCTCCGGTCCCCACGCTCTGTGCCCTGGCCCTTGGCTCCCCACTGGCCCGTGTGGGGGCCTCAGCCCTGCCCGCCCTGCCTGCCGCTCCCACCTTGGCCTCCCGTCACTGCTGGGCAGGAGGGTGCTGCAGGGCACGGGGGCAGGGCCCGTCTGGTCCCCATGTTCTCCTGGGCCTGGCTGGAGCTGGACAAGGCAGTGCTTGGTCAGTCCTCACAGAAGCCACCCCTGTGCTCCGGGGCTGACATGGCGACTCACACCTGATCTGGCCCTGTTGGTGTCTGGGGCACCACTCCCCGGGCAGCCTGGGCACAGATTTCCCTTGGAACCTGACACTGTGTCTGCCACGGAGAAGCCTGGGTGTCACGGTGCAGCCCTTCTGAGCGTGGCTCCACTGCACAGCCAGCCCCCTCTCAGGGACACTGCCCTTGCTGGCGTCCAGGTGCTGTTCCTGGAACGGCCACTAGGGGCACAGAGGGATGAGAGAGGTACGGAGTTCAAGGACCACACAGGGTGCTGTGTGGCCTGGCCTCGAGGCCGATGCTGGGGACCTTGGCGTTGGCTGTGGGCAGCTTTTCTCTGACGTGTGGGGATGGGCGCTGCAGCTCTGGCCAGGTGTTTGCAGCCCTCTGCCAACCTGGGAGGCGTGTTCGGCACCACCTGCCTCCTCTTCGGTTGCCCACAGGGCTCTGCGCCTTCTACTCTGTCCCTGCTTCCGCCAAGGTCTGCAAGTCACTTCCTCAGGCTCCTGCCCCCTGGGGTTGTGCTGTCTTTGGAGGATGCCCGCTGCCCTTCCACCCACCACCTCTGGCTTCAGTGTGCCAGTCCTGCCTCCTTCTTGGTGCGTCCTGACCCTTCTGTGTTGTCCTCCAGGGTCACCTGTGTGGCCTTGGGGCTCTGAAGCCCTGGCCTGGGCACCCTGTGAGTCCCCTCTGCCCCACCGTTCACTCTTGGCCCTGTGTCTGCGGGCGCTCTGTGTGGAGCCCGAGGGCCCTCGACAGCCTGCCCCTCCCCTGGGGCTGGTGGTATCAGCAGCTCTCCGTCACTGTGACCGAGTGCCCGAGACAGGAGCTTGCAGGGAAAGGTTCCCTCAGCTCCCAGTTCTGAAGGTTCCTGTTGGATGCAGCGGCCCGAGGGCTCTGGGGTCACACATTGCGGAGGGAGAGTGTGGCAGAGCAAACAGAGGAAGAGGAGGGTTCCAGGCCCCGCAGCCCCCTTGCAGCCGAGCCCCATGACCCCCAAAGGCTGCAGCAGCTCTGGGGACTCAGACCGTGGCCCCTGTGGCCCCTGCCCCTCGGCCCCAGGCCTCACAGTCCCACTGTGGCTCAGTCTGGCCTGCGCCCCTCCGAGCACTGTGACCGCTCCAGCCTGGCCATGGTCATGGACCCAGCCATAGTCAGACCCAGCCACAGAGGGGCTCTGACGCCTGTCAGAGCGGCTGTCCGAGGGCCATTCCCACATCTGGCGTTCTGCTCTGTCCCTGCAGGACCAGGCCTGGCTCTGCCTCGAGGATGCCCTGCCTCCAGGGTGCATGAAGGGGCCTGCTCTGGCTTC